TAAAGACTTCAGGTAAAGACCGGGGTGTGGATCCATGTGTTTATTTTCACTTTTACCAAAAACAGCAAGAAAATGATGATAAAGAGAACACGTGCAAAGCACAAACAGATAGAGGAAGCAGCATCACTGGAAGTTGGAGAGTAGATATATGAGTGGTAGGTGATTTTATGGGACCCCAGCTGGTAAAGGGGGAAGCAGATAAGGAATTTGACTAGTACCACAGACACCTGGAAATGATCAGAATTAGCAGCCTCACTTTGGGAAGAAAGGTCAAAGTAAGTCTGGTGGGAAATCTGTTAAAAAGCATATCCTACCCCTGCTCTACACAGATGAGCAACTGCCTTGCCCCAGACTGGCAAAAGACAAAAGAGGCAAAACACAAGTGTCTGTCTAGCTGGGGAACACCAAACCCAGGTGGGACAGTGTTGACTAATGAAAAGAGGGAAATTAAGACTTTTTAAACCCTCTACCATGACACTGTCTACATCTACACTCTGGACTGAAGACTAGAAAATCCTTCCCTGGGGAACTTCAACAGCCCAGAGGAAAGACCAAAAAATACTGACAGATCACCCTACATCCAATAAACCCCATGTACACACACAGAGTATCCACTCAGCTTTTTATTGTGCACTCAGAGTAAGCACCCAATCAGGTGTCAACAGTATCTGAGGAAAACAGGCAAGGAAAAGGCAACCACATTTGTGTGGTGGGAGTGGGGGTATACAGACATGATGCAGGAAAAAGAAAATGCCAAAATTATCTGCTGATAATGCATTCATGAGGTAAGACCAGAATATTATTTTAGCAAATAAAATATAAGGAACAACCAGAGAGCAAATAAAAGTGCTTAGAAATAAATATAGATAAAATGAAAAATTTACTGAAGGTTTGGGATATAATGTAGAGAAAATATACCAGAAAGTATTATAAAAATATAAAATGATGTAAAATAAGAGAGAAATAAAAGAAATATAGAAAACCAGTAAAACATTTCTAATATCCAAATAATAGGGATACCAGAATGAACTGAAAAAATGTAAGAAATCATCAATGGAATAATTCAAGAGAATTGTCCTGTACTGAAGAACAAGCGCTCAAGGATTAAAAAGGTCACTAAGTATCTACCGTAATGGATGAAAAAAGACACATACCACATACAAAGGCACAGCATAGACATTTTAGAACATTTTAAAGAAAGGGAAAATTTCCTAATTTTCCAGAAAGAAATGAAAAGTCAAATACAAAGAATTAGGAATCATAAAGGCTTCATAAGTCTCAACATCCACATGGAAATAAGAACTCAATGACACAATGTCTACAAGAATACTGGAAAGTTATGAAATTTATTTCTAACACAGAATTTTATACCTAGCCAAACTAACAAGTGTGAAGAATAATGGCATTTTTGGATATGCAAGGTCTGAAAAATGTACTTTACCTTTTTTTCTAGAAAGCAACTAAAGGATGTATTCTACCAAAGTAAGGGCATAAACTAAAAGAAAAAAGAGAGAGAGAAAGTAACCAGGGATCCAACATGGAGACAGGTGAAAGGAGCACTCTAGATGGCAAAGGGAGATCCTATGATGACAGGTATCCTCAATATATTGAGGGCTGGGACAGGTGAGAAAGTCACAGAAGATACTTCTTTAAGAAGGTAAATTAATAGAATACTCAACACATGAATTGTTCTACTGGAATGCATGGAGAGATACAGTTACTGATAGAGAACTTGGGGTTAAACCAATGATAAGTACAGTCATACATTGCTTAACATACTTTTTGAGAAATGCATCATCAGAGATTTTTGACATTGTGCAAACATAAGAATGTACTTACACAAACCTATAGGGCATCACTAACTCCACACCTAGAATATATAGTATGTACCACAGTATATGCAGTCTTTTATTGAGTGAACTATCTTTATGCGACTTATTACTATACACAAGATACCAGGTTAACAAATAGTAAAAAATAGGTAATGACTAACCCCAGCAAAAAGAAAGTTATGCAGAAAGGTAAAAATATATATATATATCCTAAATGATTTTCACTGTAAATGACATTTATGTACTTACAATAATATAACCACTAAATATTCACCTAAATTTTAATGATTAATTAGTGATTATATTAAGAGGAAGGAGAAGCAGGAAGTGTCTGTATGGGTCTTGTGGGTGAGGGGTAGGAGGAAAGGCAGCTAAATTCTCATCTTCCACAGTAAGAAGTCAACAGATAATGCCTAAAACTGAAAAAAACAAGAAATACCATATGAGTATGATATCTGGAGTTAAATCATGAATAATAGAACAGAAGAGTTGAAAGTGCTCAGCTCTGAGAGAAGGAAATCAAAGTTTATGTATGGTAGAGAAAAGAGGGTAGGTAAGTACTTAAAGAGTTTTTGCAATAAACTCTACAGAATATTTGACTTATAGCCACATGCATCATTTTGATTTAAAAATAAGTATGAAAGGGAGAAAAGAAAGAAAAAGAAAGGGAGAAAGGGAGGAGAAGAGGAAAACTTTTAGAGGCTGAGAGAGTAAGGATACATAGCCTAATATACCAAATGTGAATGTTTATAGAAAATGAGAGCCAAGAATTGAAAAAAAAAAACTACAATATTTAATGAACACAAACTAGATTTATATCTCTCTTGAGCTCTAAGTTGTACATCCAACATCCAAATGATAGTATGTAAAAAATGTATTCATGCTTTCTCCCTAAGTCCCTATTCTCGTACTAATTCTGCTTTGTTCCTCACCCTCCAACATCCTATGGAGTCTAATTGTTCTCTATTATTTTAGGCCACTATCATCTTCCCAAACTGGTCCACCTGCTTCTGCATCACATCTGTTCTCTATCATGCAGGCAAGATGATATTTCCAAATTCAAAGCCAATCACACCATTTTCTGGCTTTAAAAATGTTGCAATGGTTTCCACTGCCTTTAAGATAAGGTTTGAACTCCTGAACCATCTAAAGCTTTATAATCTGAACTCTAATGACCTCTTGAACCTCATTTCTTAACATTCCCAGGAGTAGCTTCCCATCCTAACCCATCTCTAGGTTCTGGCCAGCCATACTGAAGTCTTTTGTACATCTTCTCTCACAACTGCATTAATAATTTTTCCTCTATTCTAGAAGTTCTCCAACTAAAATTTTTTGCGAAATTATGTGTATGTTTCTATTATGTACACATAAAAGCACATGTACAAAAACTTATAAATAATGTTGACAGTATTTATAAATCCACTGAATACCAATTTAGACCCACTTTAAGAACACCTTAAGATATAAATAAGCTTACAGCTGGTAACAAAAAGTTCAAGGATTTTTACATAGAAAGCATACATGAATTACACATATAAATATTAACTATTTTTTATGTCACCAGGATGTCCTTTGTTGCTCTTTGTCCCAAAGAAAGATTATGTGAAAGTTGGTTTCCCTGGAAAGAAGTCACTCTAGTGAAAAACACCTCCTTACTGTTCTGAAAACAGCAGGATCTTAGAACATGAATATGTCTGCCTCATAAGAAAGCCTGAGCATGTTGTTACCCCCCAAAAAAATCCTAAAAAAATTTGGATGATATTAGATGAACAGCTGTGTAGAAAAGGGAATATAAAAATAAAAACTCATGTTGGAGCATCAAAATAGTAACCATGTACAGTATATGACTGTTTTTAATCAGATGAAGATTGAAGCTATTACATTTCAAATCAAATGTTATAAATTAGTTCAAGAATGCAGCTGAGCTCTCATTTAATTAGAAATGTCCATGTTTAAATCATGAGGTACAGTAGCTGCCAATGAAGCAAAAGGGCAAAGGAAGGCAGAAATGCTACGTCCAGACCCTCTGGTTCTCAACTGTCTCCTAGGTAGGAGGAAAATCTGGGGTGGACTATTCCCACTGTATGAAGAACTTCGTGTACTAGCTAATTTGAGAGTTAATGTAATTGTCCGTAATTGTTTTGAAGACAATTGAAATCATTATTCTGGTCTGGACAATTCTGAGCCCTTCATTTTTGTATGAAACATATTTTCCTCCATGCTGAATTTTAACTCTTTCTTGGATCAAAAGTAAAGCAAATTCTGAGCCAAAATTTCCTTGGGAAATAACCCCTCAGCTGTCAGGTCACATTAAAATGCAACACAAGAAATGAGGTTACTCCTTTGGAAACAAGTCTCATTTCCTATTTCTGGTGCTTGGAGGTAGCTCAGTTAAAGCCCAAGTCCACATCCCAAGTGTTAGATAATTTACTATTAAAGAAAAATGAGGCAACAGCATAGAGGGATTTTTGAGGTCATACAGAGAAGAATGCAATTATCCTTAGGCAGGCTTTTCCCCAAAGGTTATGAGCCTCTGCATCTCATAATTAACCACGGTGCAGCTAGACAGTCCAGGCAAAAGGTCCTTTTTTTTCTCCCAATTTTCCTAACTCAAAAACACCTCAAGTGACGTAGCTCAAATTTTCCAAATTAAACTTACCCCAGGGGTTGAAATCATGCATGTGACAGATTGGCTCTACAGAAAATCTTAGAGAGAGTTGTGCGTGGGGAAAAAAAGCCAGAGGAAAAGGGGAAGGAGTTAACATTTAAGCGGTTTCTCAACCTCATCATTACCCCTGCTCAAGAAAATAGGACACAGATGGGCAAAGCATGCCATCATTCTGCCCCGAAGAGTCCAAGGGACTCATTAGAAACTACCATTGTTTCCTCACGATCTATTTTGAATTTGTCAGAAACGAAATTACTAATGATTTTTTTTTTTTTGCCACATCTCACAGCATTTAGTATTCTGTAATGTCATGGCATGGAAAGTAGAAGGATGAGTCACAAAGACACTGTGCCACTGCAAACTACAAACGCTTGTTGCTGGTAAAATTCCTCAAGATCCTCTTTCCCCAGGCAGTTGAGGAGTGAGTAGATTGTCACAAGCTCTTTGGATTTGTAAAAACAGTTTCAAATAAGGAATAACAACTCTGAACTTTCTCTTACTTCTGGTCACTGCTCCGCACTCTTCCACTCCCACACCAGAGAGAGGGAAAATGGGGATCAGGTCCACTGCACCCAGGCAAGGGTGGATCCCCCTTGAACCTCCGTATCAATAGCATGGAAGGCCTCCAAGAAAGCAGCCAGAACAGAACTGCCTAGAAACACGAAATTGTAAAAAACAATCATTAAACTTCCAATCAAATCTAAAGAAGTTATGACTTTCATTGTTCCATGAGTTGCTTTTCTTTTGTCATCTATACAAAAGATTGTTTTTTCATAAAAAAAAAAATGAAAAATAAAAGATCCAACATTTCTTCTCAACCTACCTCTCAACAGTCATAGAACTTCACTTTTCTTCCTGCTTTTCCTCCACAAAGTAGAGGAATTATGCAATGTTTATTGGTCTTAAATAATTTTACTTTTTACAACTGGTTATTTAATTTTCATCAATTTTCTCCAATTAATCGGATACAAGTCCTTATTTTCAGAATGATTTATGAGTTAATTATATTAAAATACTTACAAAAGTAGCTAGGTACCAGTGGCTCATGCCTGTGATCCTATCTACTTAGGAAACTGAGATCAGGAGAATAGAGGTTTGTGGCTAGCCTCAGGCAAATAGTTCACCAGACCCTATCTCCAAAACAGTCAGAGAAAAATGGACTGGAGGTGTGGCTAAAGCAACAGAGTGCCTCCTTTGCAAGCTGGAAGCCCTGAGTTCAAACCCCAGCCCCACTAAAATAAATATACATACATATATGCATATACAACACTATATGTATATATAAAAAAATATATAAACATATATAAAAATATACGCATATTTATATGTATATATAAAACTAAAAATTTAAAATCATAAATACTTATTTTAGTTTTGCTCTTTTCTAGTAAACATATTTTCATTGAATTATGAGCAAATACATAGTACAGACAAATAAGAGTTTTATGTTGTTACTCAGTTTCCATTAGCAGTATAGAATGACCATGTTAGCAATCAAATAAAAGCAGGTTTGACATTTCATGTTGTGTTAGCATTCAATATAGTCTGTCTTATGCTTGCTAGTAGTTATCACTCAGTGCATCAATCGCCAAGCAAAAATAACTTCTGAAAGAAGACAATCTGCCAACTTGAAAACAAATTTATTTTGGATCTTTTATCAAGAAATATTAATATAGGTTTTTGCTTACAAAATTGTGATTCTTCAAATTCAGATTGTCCTACTAAACCTCACAACATCCCTATAAGACACAGAGCCCATTTCATTTCGACCAATGGCCCAACTCAAAATTTCAGGCTCCCAATCCAAAATACAACTGTCTTGCATATTTCATCCCATAGTAACTTAATCAGCACAGTCAAGGTGGACGCTAACGGTATCACTTCACAGGATAAAACCTGAACATGTTTTTCAAAACCATGAAGGTTAAGTAATCACCTTCTGCAAAGAATGTTAGCAAATCGTGGACTCAAGGTCCATTACAATAAAGAGGAAATGGGTAATGTTTCAGAACCATGCACCCAGAAAAAAGATGAAATCCAGTTTTGTATTGGACTCTCTTCTGAAAGGGAGTATTCAGATTTACACAGGACATGAATAGTTAAAGAACATTCCAGTCTATCTGAAGTCTACCCTTCACCAAAAAGACATGTATGTAAAGACAAACTGAACTCTTACCCAACTTATCAACAGAAGCCACTATTGTAATGACTGATCTGTTGTAGTCTTGATCAGCAAATTGAGCACTGATACTTCAGGATGTTTCTGCCCTGTAAAGAAAGCATCACAAATTGCAAAAACATTTTTTCTGTGATGAAGCATCAATACTTAATTTATCTGAAATAATTAAATTTAATTTGGTAAAAAAATCAGGGATATGATTTTTGAAAGTGACACTAAGTGTGAAATTCATAAGTAGCAATGTCCACTTCCTATAGTATCTTAACCAGATGGCTCAGCTCAGACATAAGCATTTTAATGTCTACAAGAGAACTCTCACAGACTTGCTGCTGTGTTTGACAAAGTTCTCTGGACTCAGTCTAAGATGGTAGCTCTTTGTTCAATGGTCAAATCATATCACTCTAAGCCAGGAATGGTGGTACATGTAATCCCAACCCTCAGGAGGCCAAGACAGGAAGACTGTGAGTTCAAGGCCTGCCTGGGATATATAATGACCTCCAGGCCATACTGGGCAACACAGTGAGACATTGTCTCAAAAAAAAACCAAAAAAATCCCCAAAATAGTGACATATAGTTTTAAAAAGAAAAAAAGGACATGAAAGTACATAGAAACGACTAATTGGGAAGAAGAGGACCAGTGGGAGAGGGACAGGTGACAAGAGAGGGTAAAGGAGGGGTGAATATGATCAAAGTATGTTATATACGAGTATGAAAATTTCATGATAAAACCTATTAAATGTACAAAAAAGAAACCAAGAACACAATCCCATTTATAATAGTTATCAAATACTACCTAGAAGTAAATTTAACCAACAGGTGGATGATCTCCACAATGGATGAAAGAAAATAATGAAGACACGAAAAATATAAATATTTCCAATGTTCATGAATTCAAAGTATTAATATTGTTAAAAATATTCATACCTCACAAAGCAATCTTCTGATTCAATGCAATTCCTATCAAAATACCAAACACATTCTTCAGAGAAATAAAGAAAGCAATTTTAAATTTTTTATAGAGCCACAATCTTGAGACTTAAGGACACAAAGCTGAAGACTCCCAATATCTGATTTCAAAATATACTACAAAGCTATAGTGACCACCATAACATGGTACTGGCATAAAAAAGAGACACATAGATCAATGGACACAATAAAGAGCCCAGAAATAAGTCTATACACTTGTAGGAAATTACTTTTCCAGACAAGGGTTAAAAACATACACTGGAAAAAGTTCAGGGTCCTCACTAAATGGTGCTAGGGAAGTTGAATGACTATATGCAGATAAAAGTAAGTGAACACCTATATCTCACCATATACAGAAATAAACTCAAAATGGATCAAAGACTTAAATGTAAGATCTCAACTGTCAAATTACTTAAAGGAAACAGATCAAGCAATTGGTATGGGCAAAGATAACTGGTATGGGATAAGACCCCAAAAGCCAAAAATACGGAACAAAAGCCAAAATACAGAAATGGATTTCATCAAACTAACAAGCTTCTGCCAAACAGAAGAAACTATCAACTAAGTGAAGAGACAATCTGCAGAGTGGGGGAATATTTGCAACCTATTTATCTGACATAGGGTTAAAATACAGAATATCTAAGTACTGAAAAAACCCTTCAACAGCAAACTAACAACAACAACAACAAAAATCAAATAGCCAAGCAGCGGTGACTCACGCCTGTAATCCTAGCTACTCAGGAGGCAGAGATCAGGAGGATCAAGGTTCAAAGCCAGCCCCGGGCAATTAATTACATGGAACCCTATCTTAAAAAAACCTAACACAAAAAAGGGCTGGTGTAGTGGCTCAAGGTGTAGGCCCTGAGTTCAAACCCCAGTACCACAAAAAAAAAAAAATGAAATAATCTGATTTTAAAATAGGAAAGGAAAGAAACCAGACTTAGGAAGACAAGCATCACATTTTCTCACATGTGAAATAAAAAAAAAGAAGAAAAAAGTCATGAAAGTTGACTATCAGGGAATAGGAAGAGGACCAGTGGGAGGAGGGAGATGCGATATGTGTGCGTGGTGGGCGGAGGGTAAATTCGAACAAAGTATCTAATATATATATGAAAATGTCATAGTGAAACCTCCTTTTGTACAATTAGTATACACTAATAAAAATGCCCCCCAAATCACAAAAGCAACAAAAAATTTTATCAGTCTAAATTTTGTGCCTTACCAATTCGTCTTGTAGGCCTTGTCATTATTTCCTTCCAAAAACCAGAAATCAAACAGCCTGGCTCAATATATGAAATCTGGAAAAAACTAGGATTAGGCCAATTAGTGCCTAGAGCAGAGGTTTCAGGTATGCATGCACCTGTCCATTAGAAACTGCTCTGACTCCACCATTTCCTTCTTGGAGGCAACTAACAGCCTTGAGATGTTAATGACTTCCAGCTTTGGTGGCTTAGGACTCACTTGAGTGTGCAACCTGGAGGAGAAAGCTGCCTTACCCTGGTATGGCCGCCATACATAAACCCAAAGTTATTTTTGAAGTTTACAAGCCTGATCCCGCCTCCTTAAAAGTCCCCCTTAAGCCTACAAAAGCAAATTCAAAGTGAAGGACAAAAGTTTTCAGGCGGTAATTAAACCTTTAGCTATGCTATTATACTTTGTCCCACTGTCCCCTGGCAGCTTAACAACTAATCTTTTCAGAAGAAAGAAAAAAGAAGTTACACCCAGGAACTACAGAGCTCATAGTAGCCCTACACTATTAATTTTAATAATGTGACTTATAGTCAAATGAGCATCAATAGGGCCCTGCCCTGGTGTAGGTCTAAAATTTATAACTCAGGTTTCTTTACTGAAGATCTTTAAGGCCATTTAAATGTGCTCACATTGCTTAATTAGAAAAAAAATACGCTTATATAGTTTTATTCCCCTCACTTAAAAATAAATGCCTTTAAATTATTTATAAGAGGTTCACATTCTTAACTAGTGCTACCTTCCCTGAATTTTTAAAACTATAAAAGATGAAGCGAAAACAAGGTCATGCAACCTCCTATTTATCTAGATTTTCAACACTCTACCTCCTAAAAGGAAAGATGTGTTTTATTTTTTCATCCTCATCCTAAATCTTCTGAAAAGCTTTTATTCTCAGTTTCATAAGAGTCAATTGAATCAAATGCTGAAAGAATGGAACACTCTCCTGCAATTTCTTAAGCATGCATATAGAAAAAAATGAGGGCTGGCGGGAGGAGCTGTCAGGATGAATCTCGGTAGAAGTAAATTGTTTGGTATTTGTAATGGAGTATAATAGCTATAATTCCACTTGAGTGGCTGCCACTAATAAGCTGATAAAAACTGTGAGTTGAGGCCCAGGCATCAATCAGTGTGTGTCTTCCACAAATGTCTCTGCACATTCATTCAATCATAGACACGGGTAACCCAATCCCATTAGATGTACTGTTTCTGACAATGAAGAACCACCCAACCTGGCTCTTCTCACAAAAAGTATACAAAAAAAAAGAAGAGGACAAAAAACAGTTGCACACTGACTCCAAAGTCAGCAACTATCAGGAATTTTCAGAGATCTTTCCATCTCCTCAAAGTTACAAGACTCTAATATAAATGTGTTCCTAGTTAGAGATGGACTGGGGGGAAAACACCTCTCTCATGAAAACCACATCAAAAATGACAATAAGAAAGTATACTGTCTCAAGTGCCTAAGGCCTGTGACCCTAATGCTCACCTGTTGCCAAAAAAGCTATTGACTTAATAACAAAGAATTTCTACTTAAGTAGTCTGTAAATACCTTCTCTGTGTGTGTATATGTATGTGTGTGATATATGTCTGTGTATGAAAGTAAAAACAAGTATCTAAACTGTGTGCCATCATGTGAACATTTTGTGAAGAGTAGAAAAAACATAGCACCATTTCTCAATAATACGGGCCAAGGGAATAAGAAGGCTTAAGTTCCAGTTTTCTACCATTGAATTGCTAAGTGACCTTATGATCATCACTTAAATGCAATTGCCTAACAGTCTTCATACAGAGAAAATAGAGTAGAAATAATAATGCTATAATGATAGCATGGGCTTTGCTGGCAGGAGTGCTTTGAAAAGTGGTGGGAATTTGGCAGGTTTATTTTTCATTTAATCTGCTGAATAAAAAGCATAATGTACTATTGTGCTTATTCTATTAATGATCACATAAATGGCCCATGAGGGAAACATTAAACGTTTATGGAAATATATCTTTCTCAGGAGCATGTCAATATTCTAAACAATCTGTATCTGAGACTCACACACAAATGTGGAGAGCTGTGCTGCTGAGTATATGCAGGCATTTGAAAAGAGCATCTTCCACACCTGAGTAGGTAAGCTAGCTCAGGCAGCATTGCCAGCTCAAGACCACAGTTGGGGGGTGAGGGGAGTCTAGGAAGAAAGTGGTCTATAGATACAGTTTGCAGAGAATAAAAATTATTGTAGCATCAAAACACTGCAATATTCAGTTATCTGTGCTCCTACCATTTTTTTCAAGAAGAGCTACTTTTGCTATGTTCTCAACAATATATTTTCTTCTGGCTTCTGAAATATTCAGTAAGCAGGCAGCCAAATGGAGCCCCAGTCTGGAGGAAGACATGACTTCTCTAGAATAAAAGAAAAATGATTATTTCATTGATATTTCCGTGTTCGTTAACCACAAAGATCATAACTTTCTGGAAACCAGGCAATCATATGTATACTTCACTATTTCATTCCTAGAGAACATCTATAGGAAAAATCCTCAGGCTGACTCCAACAGGATACTATGTGAAGTAGTCATGGACAAATGGACATATCGACTGTAATAACAACGCTGGAAAATACCCAGTCAGTTACTCAGCACAGACCCTATCATGTAAGTAAACCTCATTAAAGCATGTCATTCCAATTTAAGCATGTCCTTCCTTGGCTTATCTGTTTTCTAGGCCTGTAGTATGATACAATCCTTTTGTTAAACTAGATTCCCTGGGGAAATGCAAAAAAGGGGAATGAGGGAGTTTATTTAATATGCTGGTTTTTATAAGTTATTCTTATGAAAAAAAAGAAGTACCTCAATAGGCCACACATGGGCATTATACAAACACGTAAAAGAGACCCAACAGCTGAAGGTATGGCTCAAGCAGTAAAGCCTGTTTCCAAAGTGCAAAGCACTGAGTTCAAACCCTAGTACCACAAAAAAAAAAAAAAAAAGAGAAGAGAAAGAAAAAGACACCAATTTGGTCTCTTTAAATAACAATTATTTGATTAACAAAGCTCCTCCTTGTACTTTGATTTCTAAATCAGTTTAAAATCATTTCACACAACTCTGCCTTGAACTGAAAGATGACACATACTCTGCTTTATATTTCTCAATGCCAAAAATGTGACTGTTCGTTTCAACGAAAATGGATGAATTACACAAGTTTTGAAGGTTGCATGTATTCCTTTTAGTACTCTAGAATGGCATTTGTCAACTCAATTTTTCCATACCTCAAATGACATTATGACCTAAAGGAATTAAAATATCTCAAAATACAAGAAAATCATTCTGCTTTCAAAGATCAGGCCATCATAACGTTGGCCTCTTTTAAATATCTAAAAGTGAATGCAGCCCTAATGAACTCACTAGACAAAACATTTGACGAGGGTCATTTTGTGTCTGGAAATGTTATTTATGTGGGGGATACTGCAGTGAACGGAGTCCAACTCTAAGGCAAACTTTAAATCTAAGAATTTAAGCAAAAGGTTAAATAATGGTGCTCTCCGCAGACAGATCCACTGGCTTCTGTTCACTAGCATTGTCTGCCTGGCTGATCGTCACCGCTAGTTCAAGTTTACAAGCAGGTTTTCCTCTTGTGGCCATCGTCTATCTTATCGTCGAAATTTCATGAAAATATGATCATTAGGTTCTGTAGACATTAATAAAGCGTTGTAATAAAGCAGCTCAGACCCCTCTTTTTCTATGTAAACAAAAAAATCGCTTTACACAAGGGGTGTGGGCGTCTTCTGGTTTTCATTTGTTTTCAGTGTGTTTATGTAGCTTAATTGTCTCATCAGGCACTTTCCCAACATAATTATGCTTTTTAACAAATGGTGTTTATGGCAACCCCTAACAGTGCAAAAGAAAGGATTAGCTTCATCCTCTCATTCCACATTTTGATTCCCTGTGGACAACTAAATCACACAAAGATGGTGTTAGAAAAATCTACCTTCGCAGAAAAGCTGACAAGGGCGCCGGCACCAGGAGTGACTTTCAGAAAGTGACCCAAAGCCAGCCCACCACCACCCTTGACAGTTTAGGACAGGAAGACCCAGTCCGCCCATCCCTCCCATCACTCCGGTGATAGACCGAAGGCCTGTCCCAAGAGGACTAGCAGGTCCAGTGCAAAGAGAAGCAGTGGGTCGCCACATTCCTCCAAGTCACCTGCTCCAGCGCGCGGGCCGCGGAGAGCCGGAGACAAGCGGAGGAAGCGGAGGCGCGCGCAGGCCCGGGCTCCCCCACCCCACCCCACGCGCGCGCGCCGGTCTGCGCTCCAACGAGGAGAGTCCTAGGGTCACGTGGACCGAAGGTCACCTTCCCGAGCGACTCCGCGGCCACCCAGCGGGCGCGCGGGGCTCGGCCGCTGCTCGGCTGTGAGGGAGGAGAACCAACGTGCGCCCCGAAGCCCGCCGCGAGGGCGGCCGCCGAGCGCGAGTCGCCGCGCGTGCCCGGCTCGCAGCCCCGCCTCCCGGCATCCGGGCTCGTCCGCGCGCGCGCGCGCGCGCGCCCCCGAGCTGGGCCGCGGCCTTGCGAGCCAGCCGGCGCGACTCTCAGAGCTGCGCGCGGCCCCTCTGCCCGGGTAACTTTTCCAAGGCCGTTAGGCGTCCGGGAAGATGGTGGTCACCCGCTGATCACACGCCAGCAGGGGGCTCCTCGCTGCCGCCCTCCCCACAAATGAGCCCTGCTTGGACTATGAACTGAGGTCACCCCGGACAAAAGCCGTCCTCGCACACCCCGTTGTAGTCGGTTACAGCTAACACAAACGTTTACGCATTTCCTTTTTTTTTTTTTTTTTCTAGGCCAGTCAATCATGAGAATACATTTCTCTTCCAAAAATCAGGACGTGTTTTGGGTTGTTGTTGAGGATTTTTTTTTTTTTTTGGTATTTTTTTTAAAATGTAGCAAGGATTAAATGTCACCATTTTGATCCAATTTCGTTCCTTGAAGTGAAATAATCACTAAATAACTACTTTGACGGAATACATTAATTTTTAAGTCTATTTTTTATTTTCTAATTATAATTTTTAAACACAGATTTGAGGAAATTAACATTTATGTGGACATTTGGTTTCTAGCCTAATGTGGCATAAAAATAAGTAACATAATGAGTGTTAAAAAAAATGAGGTTCACGATGCTTCTCACATCATCATCATTGTACTTAGATGTCACAACAGTATTATGTGCGATTATGTCAGATCCAGCCTTCTCCATCTCGGAGTGTTGGCAGGTAGGAGGGTTGTTGGCAAGAGAAGGGGTGTTAACCTCAGGATCCTGGACCCATTCCAACGCTGGTAATTACATTCTGCCAGCCAAAATTCATCCCATAATTTTAATTGGATAAATCCTTTCTGGCCTAAGCTACTGCTCTGCCTGTCAAACTGTTGCCACATTTCACCCCAGAGGTGTCTGTGTTTTAGTTGCGAGAGTCAGTCCCTTTGAGGTTGGCTTATCAGTTAAAATCCTCAAAGTGCTTTGGGATCCTATGGAATTAAATATATATTTCAATTTTTTTTATACTGAATCTGCATAGAAATGTACGAAATAGAGATATATCCATGTTTATACCTAAATATCATATCCATCTAGTATCAGCATATACTAGATAATTTTGGTTTTTGTCCTTCATTTTCTTCATTTTTTTCTATTGAGGGTTTTTATTGTTTTTATAGCTTTAGCTTCCATTTCAAGAAAAGTACTGTAATGTCAAAAGGTTCCCACCATGTTAGGACAAAGAACTGAAGGCCCTGGATTTCACTTTTGCAAGCAATCCTCTGGTGAGCTACTTGGTAAAAGGAGGTGTGGCACTGTTGCATGTGATCTTCCCATAGCCACCCAGAGAAAATTGTGACACCTAAGGGTCTTCCATGACAACTGCCAAGAGGAAAGCTGCTTCCGGTCTCCTAAGCCTGTCCGTGAGGGTTTCTGTCTTACAGAGCCACTTGGCACCAAGGTAACATTCTGGAAGTACCCTTTCCACCTTACTGACTTCGAACACACATGGAGAGAGAGTAGAGCCCAGTGAGAACACTCTGTGTGTTTTGGAAAAGACGAGAAGACAGATACTAACACGTCCTGTGAGAAGTTTAGTAGTAAGAGTGAAAGCATTGGTTTGTTCTCTTTGGGGTGGAAAGGTACCCTTATAGTGTTTAGCTCAAACACTTGTAATCCTGCCCTTTCCCTATTTACAAGAGCTTTGTTACTTTATAATGTGTGCATATGAAGTCGCTCATTCTTTAGCTAGCATTCTTTGGCTGGACCTTTCATACTTTTTGAGTTAATTTTTCTCCTTGTTTCTCTTGCTCAGCATTACTGCTTTTGGCATTATGGGCATTAGTGCTTTGCTCGTTATGATTCCTGTCCAGAAACAAATAAGCAGTAGGATAAAGGAGAACTGAAACTCCCAAGCATTGCTGAAGATGGAGCTCAGTGGTACAGCACTTGCCTGGTGTGCACAAGGCCCTATGTTTGATCCCCAGCACTGAGCTCCCAAGCATCAGTTCCATCAACAGCAACTGCTCTTTTTTCCCACTGTTTCTCTGTTAGACAAAGGGATGCTTCACCTCTTTTACAATTCTGCAAGCTCACAGAACTTAGGTCTTGTGAGAGCCTTTCCCCTGGGCCATGTGAGCTGATGAGGATGAAAGGGAGAGGTTGTGTTGTACTGTGGCTTCACAGCTCTACCTAAGCCTAGAGCCAGCTAGTTAAACAGAGTCAAGACTAGGGTGAGACCAGCCTGTTTCAGATTAGACTGTAGGGCCAAGAAGAAATCATACCTCTCAGCCCTGCCTGTATCCTCTCTACTGGCCCCCAAATGGATAGCAAAACCAGAAATGTCAAAGGCAGAAATTTCTAGGCCATTGGAGATGTATAGTTATATGTTCAGGAGTTTCTAGACTAGCAAATATAGGATGCAGTCTGTTTATTTAAAAAAAAAGTATTAGAACAAGCAGAAGATTTGACTTTACTTACCTGACACATTTCATAATATGGCGATTAGATTTCCTGTTGTGCTGAGGAATTCTGAAACATTGTAATTGATATTACATATCTGTCTTCTGTTTGCATATGCAAGCATTTATCCAAGTTCAGGAAACCCTGAGTAGAGAATTACCTTTTGAAAAAGAGGTCTAATTCCTAATCTAACTTTTTTTCTTTGATGATTTCACTTCCCCTGGTTTGTTGTTGTTTGTTTTGGTTTTTCTGTTTTTGTTTTTGTTTCTAAGTCAGATGTCGTTCTCCCTTCCTCTGGCCTCATAGAACATAAAAAGATTTCTTCGTTCATTTAGTCATCATTCTAGGTCAAGTTAAGAAAAGAAGTGTTTTTAATTACTTGTGAGTTTAAATTATCTGTATCGTGATATTCTGAAACATGTGTTCTATTAGTCATTAGCTAAATAATGAATGGGCTTCACAGCTGCCATTTGTTGTCTGGACTGGTGGAACCTATGCTACTAATTTCTTTTAAATGAAGAAAAGAAACTTGATGTCCAGAATGAAGTTACAGCAACTAACAGAAATATATCCATTTCCCATACATCTGTGCCTTATGTAAAATGATCACTAGCCATTTTTGTCTTAATGAAGAAGTGGAGAAAGTCCCAGAACATTTCCAGAATTAACTATTTTTTTACCTTAATATTCTGGAAATGTCTTTCCCATTACCCAAAATGGGTTGGAGTCTTCCTCTTGAGTCTGCTGATCTCTTTATCATGAAAAACCAGTAAAACAAAGTGTCAATATAGTTATTAGCTTACGTTGGACTCACTTGTTATGCATCCTGTTCATTCAGAGCAGGAATATTTCATGCAACTAGCTGAAAGTTTAAAAGTCTATGATCCACCCACCCCTTAATTCATTCCTTACCTTTTTATCCCTTCCATGTGGTCACTCAATTGTGCCTTTCTTTATTATGGAACCCAGGCATGGAATGAAAGGAAACATTTCCTGGAGCCATTCTCCAAAGCTATTTTTCTTTACTTATTAGTTACATCACAGATGAAAAGTGATTCCTAAAATAGACTTTGAATTTTTGCTAAAATTTGTTTTAACTTACAGAACTACACTATTTCTAAAACTATTATAATTCACAAAATGTGTCATTATATTCAGGAAACTGTGAATGCTTAAAGACATCATTCCTTAAGTAACAAGAATTTTTTGCTGCATTATGAGGTTTTATCAATAAATATTTAAACTCTCCAACCAGTGTGTAGTGAGTGCCAGCTTTCATCCAGAAGGATGACACATCTCCTGACCATCCAGTAGTGGTTGTTCTGCACTTGTAGGTACCTCAGTACTATTGTCCCCCATGTTGTTTAATGTCCCTAGGTATATGCAAATGAATGTCAGTAAGGTGGCAGCATCCTGTGTGTGCAGGAATCAGGGACCCCACACAGAAGGACATGTGATGTGATGTTTGCCATGTCCTCCTCAGATGTACGTTCAGAGGCATCCCTTGTTTGGAAAGGGAGACTTTCTGGAGAGAAACCGCTCCCCTGCTCTCAGGCAGATCGTCCTTCTCTGCAAGACATTCAAACTGAAGGTGTTGATGAAAAAAGTTTTACTGCTAGTTTGTATCTTATAGTGTTTGAAAGGACTTAACTTTTTAAAATGTATCTTTCATCACATGTAAATAGAAAATGTCTATTTCTTAGGAGGAAGTGGAAAAGATTTTTTTTTAAATGTGCTATTGTTTTTAGTATTTTGTACCTTGTGCCTTTTAATCATTATTGAACTCTTTTAGCTTGGAAGTCTAAGATTGTGGAAAACTTTTTGATTTTGTGGGGGTTTTTTGTTTTGTTTTGTTTTGTTTCTGAGATAGGGCCTCTCTATGTAGCCCAGGCTGGCCTCTAACTCATGATCCTTCTACCTCTGCCTCCCAAGTGCTGGGATTACAGGCCCATAGCACCACGTCTGCCTTGTAAAAAACATTTGAAAAGAAAATTCCAAAGTTCTCGGGGCATAAGGAATCTCAGATGTCATCTGGCATCTCCAGAAAACCCTTCGTTCAAATGTCTCACCTGGAAGCAGGAACTAGGGATGGAAGCAGAGCTTCTTAGGAACCAGGCGTGAGAGTGGACTCCCTGTAGATCAACAACTTGCCACTCCTGCTTCTCCAAGGCCTCTCCCTCAAAACCACTATCCAACCACTTCTCTTGAGTTGAAATTCTTTTCACAATGTCATATAGTTCTCACCTTTGGTGATTACCCCTTTATCTTGAAAGGAGGTCTATGAT